GTTGCATCTTATTTACTTGTCTTCTCATTTTCTTTTCTTAGTTTAATTCCTGGGGTGATGCTTGCAAATTGCCTTTGCTGGATTGCAGGAGAGGGGGTTGCTTTATTGGTAGTATTTAGAACCATTAGAAAATGACTCTTTTGCTGAGGTATTTTCCACATGTAACTGGTTTTTGGGTATTGAGTCTTTTGTAAGACCCTACTTTTTCAATTTGTTGAGGATGAGAAGTTGTTGTCTGTTTGGCCCAGCCCTTGCTTATTTGGCACTCTGCAATAGTATTTTCTATTACCCTTAGGCAGTTTAAGTCTTGGAATACCAGGAAGAATAGTTATCTAGAAAATTATGTTACTTTTAGCTATAATAGTAGCAACAGTCGCAGCCTAGAAAATGACAAACTGGTAACTATTAATTTGCCACCCTTAACTACATGAATCAGATTTGTAGTTATATAACAAAATCTAAAACAGACCCAAGAAGAATATGTAGTACAAGAGTTCTTAATATGTCAGTTTTAAACTCAGGGATTAATATTTAAAAGGGGTTAGGGAAAAAATACAAGAAGAGATTAGAAGTAAGGTTGGAGCACAAAGGGGGATCAAGCTAACTTTGGGAAACTGGTGCAGAAGACTGGAGAGGAAGATAGAAGGAAGTGATAAAAAGAAGAACAGAACACAACAACATCTGCAAAGAGGCTAAAACCACATTCACACTCATATAAAAACAAGATCAAACAATGAAAGAGAAGAAAATAAAAACAAAACCTCAACAACGAAAAGAGAGAAAGTTCACTTCCTTTTTTTTCTGTTGTTGCTGGTACACAATGTGTGGAGACAAGAGTCCTGATGTATGTTGATTTATCCCCAGAAAACCAGCAGTTGCTTTTTGATGGTGTAGTGGATAATCTCAATGAGCCTGCACCTTGTGGAGGAGATCAGACTCATTCGGCCTGCGGCCGTCAGTACATCTTCCTTGGGCCTGAGCTCCACTGGGAGGTGCTAGATGGAGCCAGCAGCTGCTCTGAGTTCTGAGCTCAACTGGCCTCTCTCCAAGATGGCTCCCAGCCAATCCCTCTCTCAGCTGTCAGCACTCATCTCCAACTAGTGCAGTCCTTCATGTCCCCTGCTGCATGTCTCCATGGAAGCTTCTGGAGTCACCAGCAGTCAGTGTGAGTCATCTTTTGCAGTGAGTCCTGTCTCAGGGAGAAGGCACCACTGACTACCTCCTTCCTCTACACTGAAGTGCGTTCACTCTCTCTTTGGGCTTCAGTTCATGGCTCAGATCCTTCCTGGATCCAGGAGACCCACTTCCCTCCTTCTTGTCTTCTTCATGTTGCTATTTTTCAGCATCTGAATGGTAACATTCAGAGAGGCTCTTTCTGCTGCTTACCACTCTGCCATCTTGGTCAATCACCCCTTCAAAACTTTCAAGATGTTTCCCAACTCCCAATATAGCTGGGTGTGAATGCTAGGATGTATAAATTGTCTCTGTTTGAAGTTTGAGATTCTACCATGTATAAATGCTCCAAAATGCATTTATTAAAAAGAGTTAATTGAAATAGTTAAAACATACTGTGACTTCCATTATAATATGAAAAGAAACATTTCAGTCATTCATAAAGTAGAGTTCACGATCATCCGTAATCCAAGAGACTGGTAATTCTTATTTATGGCTCCATAGGAAAACTGAGGACTTTGTAAATACTACTGATCCACTCTATGTTGAGATAAGTATGCTTTCTAAGTTCTTAGAAATCATTTTAATGTGCAATCAATAGTCAGAACCACTGAACCAGATAATTTTGGTTCTTTCTATGTCATGAATAATAGGTACTTATGATTTTTCACTTAAAGTTGGCTTTTATTTTTGGACAGAGTTTCTCTATGTAGTTCAGGCTGGCCTTAAACTCACTTTGTAGCCCAGGCTGGCCTTAAACTTGAGCAATCTTCCTGCATCAGCCTCCTGAGTGTCTGAAGTTGGTTTTTTGTGACTACAAATGAGATATATATATCCATGACTTATTATCAATCAATCAACATTGGTAGTTGAATCATTTGACCCTTGTGTATATATATGCATTTTTAAATTTTATTTATTCATTTCTTTATTTAGTTAGTGGTGTTGAGGATTGAGCCTAGGGCTTTGCACATCATAGGCAAGTGATCTACCACTAAGCTACATCTCCCTTTGTATATATTTTTACAAATTCTTATCGTAGTACATCTTTATTTTTATGCCTGTTTCCTTCACCTTCTTTTCCTCCCCCTCTCTTGTTCGATTTCTGTATACTAATGAAGTTATTTTGAAGGTATTGGTATAACTGAGGAACCCTCATTATCAGACATATTGTATAGTTGAGATTTTAAGGTTTTTTGGTACCAGGAATCAAACTTAGAACCTTGCACTTGCCAGGCAGGTGCTGTGCTGTTGAGCTATATCACCAAGATTTTGGTTTTTGAATTGTGCTTTTGCTAAGTGGAAAATGTCTACATATTATTTGTGAACTAGAAGTTGTACTCTGTAATTGGAATAGGTATCATTGCCATTAATATTGCTACCTTGTTTGCCTTACCATCCCAAAAGTACACTAAAGCCTGATGTAACTCCAAGTTGTTTCTTTTTTTTTTTTTGAGACAAAATCTCACCATATAGTTCAGGCTGGCTTTGACTTCCCTGTGTAATCCAGGCTAGTCTCGAACTTGAAGCAATCCTCCTGCCTCAGCCTCCCAAGTGCTGGGATTGCAGGTGTGTGCCACCTGCCCAGCAGTAACTCCAGTTTGTTAATGCATAGAAGTTGATACAGCAGAGGTATTCTTTGTTCATTTTCATCTTTAAATATAAAGTGTTCCTGAACTATGTATTAAGAATGCTTTTCGAGAAAGAAGTATTCGTTGTAATGTAAGGGTTGAAGTATATAATCCTAGTATTGTGTAAAGTGGCCTCTTACTAAATGAACAAGTTGATCACTAGGGAAAACATAAAAATCTGATACTGTGAGATAATTACCATGTTAAAAAAAAGAATCACAATTTTTTTTTTTTCCTGGAGAGGCTTTTTCAATGTGGCCTGGTTTCTGGGTGTGGTGGTGCTTGCCTGTACTTGGGAGGTTGAGGTAGGAGGATCATTGCAAGTTGGAGGCCAGCCTGGGCTACAAAGTGAGTTCAAGGTCAGCCTGAACTGCAAATGGAGACCCTGTCTCAAAAAGACAAAACAAGGACAATAACAACAACAACAACAAAAACCAAACGTGACCTGGTTTATTAAAATTTGATTTACACATAATACATGTTGAAGCTTTCTTGATTATTTGTGACATGTAAAATTTTTTCCTATCTAGGATTTAATTGCTTATGCTACAATTTCTATTTATAGATTCTCAGGAGAGAATATCTTGCTTTATTCTATATCCATGAGTTATTTTTATACTTCTGGTTTACTAATAATGAGTAGAATTTTAATGTGGCTTTGGGTGTGTGTGTGTGTGTGTGTGTGTGTGTGTGAGAGAGAGCGTGAGTGTGCTGGCAGAGATATTGGTGATTGAACTTGGCACCTATTGTATGGCAGTGAGGTACATCCTCAGCCTTTTTTTTTTTTTAATTATTTTGAGATAGAGTCTCATTTAATTGTCCAAGCTGGAAACAGACTTGTGATTCTTCTACATTAGCCTCCTGAGTACCTGACATTATAGGTATGCGCCACTACACTTGGGTAATAGTTATTTTGGTTTGGGGGTGGTTTATTTGTGGTCAGGCTCTTGCTGTATAGTTCAGATTGGTCTTGAACTCACAGTGTAGCCTAGACTGGCCTCATACTTGTGGCAGTCTTTTTGCCTCAGCCTCCCAAGTCCTGGGATTACAGGTATGTACCACTATCCCTGGCTGGGTAACTAGTGTTTTTTGAAAAAAAAAAAAAAAAAAAAAAATCCATGGTGGCAACATGAGTAAAGTTATCTTGTATAGAGATGGGGTCCAAGATAAAAGATATAAATGAACTAAGTCAGATTTTAATTTGGTTCTTTTGAGTTTGTTGTCATAAATAAGTTTATTGTCATAAAGAGAGCATTAATGTTGCATTTATTTTAGGGTGTCTTAATGCTTTTGTGACTGTTTTACATATTTAATTGAATTTGACACTGTAAAACCTTTTTTCTTTTTAAAAGTATCTAGAGTACATTGAAATGTGTTTAACATAATTTATGGATAGCTTTCCCCCCCGGTATCATTTCTCATGGGAAATTAATATTCCATTCTTATTGGTTTCCTATGTCTCCTTCCGGAAAGGTAGTATGCTTATAATATATAAAGTATTTGCTGTCTTTCCTCATCTTTACACAAGGATAAATATGTTCTGTTTATTATTTTTTCTTTGGTTTATATATGAAATCATTCTGTGTACATACATAAAACTTCTTTCTTACTAATATGCATAATTTTATAACAGTGATTATACCAAAATTGTCAGCTTATTTCAGCCGATTGCTTATTTGCTTTTACATTATTTGATGTAAATGATTACTAGAAGATAATTAAAAATTACTTGTAATCTTTTCTTACAAGTTTTTTTTTTTTTT